CGGATAAAATGAATAAAAACGTGGCTATAAATAGCAATGTAGATATTGCATCACATATGAGTAGTAAAAACGCCACAGCGCTACCTAGTGTTTCAAGTTCTAACACTAACCAAAGCAATAAAAATAAGAGTAAGGTAAATGAGCCTGAATTACAACACACCTTATATTACTTTGAATTGTGTCAATTTCATTTCATCCTGAACTCAACTGCAAGACATATTGCCAAATATAAATTACGTAGCTATGATGTAGGTCAAAACATTGTAGAAGCTATAATATGTCGGGAGTTTAGAACAAAATTATACGGCGACGTTTTAAATGGTATTTTCTCACATACTGAACCAAATATTTTACAAGATGTACGTAAAGTATTGCATGATCTTAAAGAGTACCATTTTCTTATCAACGATTACGAGTCAATTAATAATAAGGACCTCCGCGCTAGAATACTATTTTACTTTATGTACTCAAAGCTCTCTTTCTGTTACTGTCGGTTAGTTTATGAGACACAATCACACGAAAATGCACTGTGTATTTCAATGCAAGCATATGAAAGCGCTAGGACTCAATCAGCAGATTCTAGAAACTATTGTCTTTTAGAAGCCATCAAACCCTCTATACAAGAAAAATTAAAAAAGCTAAAACAAGGTATAGAAGAAAAAAGTTATAGTTATAGATATATTTTATGAATGTTTAGAAAATAGAAAAGATTCTGAGTTAATAAATTTTATATTTCGCAATAACACAAAATTTAGTTTTTATTGAAAATTAATTTGTTTCTTTATTTTATTTTCATTTCAGAATCCTTTCAAATAGAATCTCGAAACTAGTTCAAAAGAATGAAAGTACTTTATTGTGCAAACAAATAAAAAATTTGTGAAAGATTTTTGAGGAACCATTGGTGTTGTCCCAAAACGGAAACATGTAGTACAATAAAGGTCGTTTATATTACCTGCTCTACACTATCAGTGTTCAACCAATCTAGCTATTAATAATAAATTAGAACAAATTTATATGAAGCTTATAAACTAAAAATAACAATATTTGTGACATATTTTAGAGCATGTGAGAAATGAAAATGCTGTTTTAAATCATATTGGTGACATATATACCTAGTACCTACAATTTTTAAAGAATTTGTATTATTTGAAATATGATAATTTCTATTAAAAAATATGATTTCCTTAAGTATGTGTTATAAATTTAAGATTTTTTTATACTTATGTAAATTTTTTTGTTATATTTGCAATTATAATCAGCCATCCTTTTGGTAAAAATATAATTCTTTTTCATTTTAAAAACATGATATAATTTTGGGAATATAAGCCCAAATAAATAAATACAATTTTTTTTTCAAATAAAAAATCTGTTGGTATAATATCAAAATAATTTATAATATAGTTATGGATATGATATGATGTGAATATGAAACAGTTATGGCTAATAATGGTGTTATCGTAATAATCATGAATTGGAGACCAGCAGTACTAAATCATCGTACAATAATCGCTCGTGTTGTGAAGCTTATAAATGATATATTATATTTAACAAAGACTGTCCTCAAAAATAAGTATTATCTTTTAAACTGTAACTTTTTATGATTAATAAATTTTTCCAATTACTAACAATCGTCGCTTTTGATGTTTAAAATAATGCGGACATCATGGTTATCATAGTAAAAGACAAATTTATCACAACTATAATTGTATAGTAAAAATTAGACTTAAACATGACACAGAGAGACTGCACTCAAAAGAACTTAATATTATTATTTTAAAAATCACTATTACTACTGAAAAGTTGTATCTAAAACTTACTGAATAAAATTTAGATACTGACATGTTTAAGCATTAACTGTCTCATGGTTATTTGTCTTACGATTGTCTTTAACTTTTATAAGAATCATCTTAGCACACAGTGACATGGTATAATACAGTAAACAATACACTCCCAAATTCTTAATATCCATTCCAAAATGGAGGAAGAATTCACAAGTTTATATTACTCCAGAATTTAAATGGTTTATTAATTAAAAAACTTATCCTATCCATTTTCAGTAATGGAATTAAAGAAAGAATTCGCCTATAGATTGTTTGTAAAAGACAGTGAATACCTATCCTATCTATTTGTATCTTGTAATTATTTAGTAAATCAATCACACTTTTACTTAACCGAATAAAATCGGAAGTCTTGAACTAAGTTTATTAATATCTGTAATTAATCCAGCATAACTTAGGAAACTTCCTTCGGGAGTAGTATAATAGATCTCGTAGATAATGGTATACCATAGTACCTTATAATAACAAGAACAGTTCTCTATTTTACTAATGACTCTAACGGAAGACGTAATAGATTTTTTTCTAAATATAATTACACATCATAGGTTTACTGATATCTGCAACGTCTTTAAGGCAGAAGTTTATACTGTTAGCTTCCCTTAAAATGGATGATATATGTGAATATTGGAACATATTTATATTATACTATCAGACAATCAAACTGTTTTAGAATCCTAAAACATATAATATATTTGGATTAGATCCGAATCGTAACTCGGGGTTTGTTCAAAATTCTTGTAAGATTAGATATTCAAAATATAATCTGGAAATTTATATAGCTATATACCAATTTATTCTCTTCTTTTTTTTTTACTGAAACTTTACCTTCGTCTTTGCATCAGCTTCTTTTCATGTTTTGTTTGCTTTTTATTCATACTGGACCACATCATTGAAAAAACTCGCTTTATCAACGACATTTTTTGTTCATTAACTTTTAAAGACCGTTAGGCTGCAGTTAGTTCTTCTTAATGCCGTCAGTTTATCAGAGATGATCAGTGAATATAGAATGAATACTTATATTGTTGAAAAAACCCGAAATTATATTAGAAAAACATTGTAACCAAGCCCAAAATTCTTATCGTTTAGTTGGCGAATTATGACGTAGTATCATTTTTTTGCATTACTTATATGCTTGTGTTTTTTTAGTATATAATTTTTAATATTTTTAATTAATTTAATTTTATTGTTTTATGTAATATGTAACAATGCCACTCTGATTTTTTTTTCAATACTTTCAATGTTTTGTCAATAACTCCAAAATTACATATTATTTTTTATCATAATATCATTTTATACATAATTATTTAAACTAAGTTCACATTGTTCTACGAGTTATATATTTAGAGCTTTATAGAAAAATTTATTCTTTTATTTGAATTTGTTTTTATAAATTAAAAATTTATTCTTAAAAGTAGATATTGTAAAGCGAAATTTTAGTAACGAAATTATTATAAAAAAGCTTGTGAGTACAATAATTATTTTAACATTTTCAATATCTCTATATTCTTTTTTTTTGTGGTAAGAAGGGGGATGCTTTATGCATCGTCAAACCGACTGTCGTCGAAATTGTGCCCGATTCCATAACGTTAATATGTAACATACGGTCTAAAACACCCCCTCGGCGCGACTTTTTCCCCCTCGGAAAAAGACTCCTTGGAGTCTTTTATGTTGGCATGCGCGTATGATTTTTGATCTGCATCCAGACCTTCACTTTTTCACTACATTTGGTGTATGCACTATTAGTTATTCTAGTTATTGGTTCTTCTTTCTATGTCTAATTTCTTCGTTTTGATAACTTGAATCACATATGACTCTATCGTTCCCCAGCTCTCTGGGTTCGCTCTCATTTTTTCCACTACATTTTCGGGATTTATTGGTCCAATCTGTGCTATTATCTCTTCTCTAAATGTATGCCACCTATTACAGTTAAAGAAGATGTGCTCTACGTCGTCACAGACCCCGTCACCATAAATGTCGAGTAAATCCATCTTTCCCGTGCCCAGTCAGCATCTGAATGAGATAGTAATTTGTGTCTTCCGATTTCTGTTTGAGTCAGGTGATCCTATTTGGTATTAGTCTAGCTTCCTTGGGTGCTATTGTTTCAACTTTGTTGCCACATTTCGATAGTTTGCTCCTAATTATCTCTTGCCATTTCTTGAGTATAGTAATCGGTCATTTTTTTGTTGTATACTCTAAGGGGTTCCTTTGCTTGAAAATTAATTGGATTTACACCGGCTATTACACAAACTACTTCCGCAGAGACAGTGCGCTACGGTGATGTAATTGGTAGAGCCACCTATTATTGTTAATATTAATTTACTATTTTAAATTTTTTTATGTTATTGGGAGTATATATCAAAATATTTAGGGATATATTATATTTTGTTTTAAATATTGAGCTTATATATGCTGTAAGCTTTGGAAGTCTCTAAGCGCATTAGTATATTCTTAAAGAGATTCTACATAAAGAATGGTGATTATTGCTGCACAATGTTGGGTAAATGCTAGTGCTAAACAATGTGTAAACATTGACACTGCGAAAAATTATAAATAAGCATATATATATATATCGGTTTTATATTAGCCATTATATAACTATACAGTTAAATAGAAGCAGATATAATCTCTAAATTATCTCTATTACTATTCACATTATTCTCCACATTACTACAAGCTTTTTAAGTAATTTGTGGAAATGCCCTATTTATTCTCTTACATATATCATATGATATATTTATGATATATTGTATAAATATAATAAATATCCTACGTACTATGAAATATAAATAAAATAAACCCATAATTATTTTTATCTGAAAGCATTCCAGCACGATCTGGGTAAACTACTTTTCTTATACTACGTTTACATTAGGTCTGTTCCACGAGCTACACATAGTAACTTTGAGTAACACTGTGTATACACAAGTGCGTTCCACGAACAAATTTGTGAGTAAATGAGAGCATCTGAGAGAGCGTTACATCCCTGTCGAAATTTGAAAATGTTACACAGACTTTACTCATGCATTTTATATGAAGTAAAATTTGTGTTTATGCGTAAATCAGCTCTTATGGTTTGAATTCAAATTTTTGTATTGTTTGTTTGCGCGGCATGTGTGAATATTAAAAAATTCTGCATTTTTAATTGTAACAACTGTAATAAATAAATATTGAAATGGATAAAAACATAATAAATATTTTATTAAGTGATTTAAGTAACACAACACAACCAGAATATAACGTAGTTAATACACTTCGAGATAGTGACTCTGACGATGATGTAGAATTGGTGTATTCGATATTACATAAAAAAAAAAGAAAACGTGTGTGTATAAAAAATTATATACAAGATGTTGTTTACAAATATGACGACAAGGAATTCAAAACTCATTTCCGCATTTCGCGGAGTCTTTTTAATTCTTTGGCTATAAAATTTCAAAATATTACCGACTTTATTGCACTGCGAGTAAGTGAGCTGAACATTTCTTCAGAAGCTCACGTTGCTGTTTTTTTATGGTTTGCTAGTCACGAAGCATGTTGTTTTAGAGATTTATCAGATCGCTTTAATCTCTCTTTATCATCAGTAAACCGAGTTATAAGAAGGATGATAACTTTCTTTAGCAACATGTGTCCGGATATAATTGCATGGCCTAGCACATCAAAAAAGCTTATGCAATTTTTCAAAAGTTATAGGTAAGGATTTATGTGCATATTAACGCTGCATATATATTAATACATGTTACTTTGCGGGTTGCTTAGATGGCACTCCTATAACTATTGATCCTCCTGGAGATCGTAAGGACGACTACTTACGGAAAAGGAAAGGACAGAAAAGGAAATATTTCATTATGCTTGCAAGCCATCTGTGATGAAAACAGATAATTTATTAGCATATTTATCGGACATCCAGGCTCCTGTCATGACAGTTGGGTCTTACAAAACTCTCCTATTTATATGCAACTACCATCGAAGTGTGGAGGTAAGTTCTTTGGAAAAAGAAATGAGATTTATTAAAACCTCTTACGTTTACAGAATACTATCTACTGGCTGATTCCGCATACCCCTGTACACAACACATCATTACGCCATATAAAGACAACGGGCGTCTTACTCGTCCACAAAAGAATTTCAATAGAAAATTGGGGTCAGGTCGAATACTAATAGAAAATGCATTTGGTATATTAAAACAACGTTTTAGACAGCTGTATAATTTTTTATAATAAATTTATATAACAGCACTCTAACTCACTTTATTAAAACAAAATTTAACTTTAAATAAATTAATTTTAAATAGTATTTAAAAATATTTGGCTTGTTGTTTTGTTTATTTGGTTTTCAAAATGTGTTTCTCTGTTATTTTTCAATTTCTATTTCTACTGTTTTGTTTTTCAAAAAACAGCTGTTTTCACCAGACTTTACACAAAACTGTTCCATGAAAATTTGTGTAAAGAGCATAATCTGGCACTTTATTTGTGTTACGCTCTGAGTTTGTACTTTACTTCTGTTTTACTCATGGTTTACTATGTGTAGCTCGTGGAACAGACCTATTATGAGATTAAAAGTACATTAAACCAAACATCGAGATTAAAGTCCTAATCCAGTTGTTTAATCACAGATTTTCGGTACAAAAGTTATTTTTATTTTTGTCAAGATTAATTTTAAATCTCTTTAGAAATGGCGATTATTTCTCTATGCAACTCTGTAAATGTCTCAATATCGAAGATTTTTTTACGATCTTAGAAATAATTTTAACTAAAATTTGCTAAATTTTTGTTATAAAACAATTTTTTTTTAATTTGTATTAAAAATTTTTTCTTCAAAGTTGTGTTAAAATACTTTATTTATAGAATATTATTAAACACATGAAACAAAACACAAGAGAAACCGTCACAATTAATCTCCAATGTATAATGTAAACGGGGTATATTAGAAATGCAGATTAACTCGTTTAATCTTGTTTTCTTAATTTTACAATGTAAGCATAGTATACTACGTTTACATTGCAGAATTAAGAAAACGAGATTAACAACTATGTACTAAAAAATTATAATATAAATTAATTATATAGTTTTATAAATAGTTTTATAATTATATACAACACTATTATTAAACAAATTTGATAAGAATTTCACTCACTTCGCCATTTTCAAATTTTCAATGTTTGTTTTGAATAGACATTTCTTTTCCAAATCTTTTATTATCGTAAAAAATCTACATTATAAAGACATTTACAGAGTAACACAGAAAAATAATCACCATTTCTAACGAGATTTCAAATTAATCCCGACCAAAACAAAGTTAACTTTTGTATGGAAAATCTGTAATTAAAGAACTAGATTTGTTCTTTATATTTCGCATCATATGTTTACAATATTATTATATAAATTACGATATTATTACCAACTGGTAAAACCAGCAATAACCTATTAAATTTTTTTTCTTTCATGAACCCTGTTTGTTTGGAACTAATTCCGAAGTTCATTTACAAAATTGTATTTGAATTTAACTTTAATTACAAAACTAAATTGTTGAATACAAAGTGAAATTAAAAATGTCTCCCAGAAAGCGAAAAAATGTTAAACAAACCAAAATTACTAATATAAAACGAATTAAGACAAAAAAAACACAAACTAGTCCAAAACCAAAGGAGGATATAAGTCTGCAAGAAAAGTAAGTTAAAGTGAATTAATAATAATAAACAAATGCTAAAATAATTTATTTATTTCTGATTCAGACCCCGTGAAGAATTAAAAACTCGATCAGTCTTTCCAGTCACGATCGACGAGTTCATTGAAAATACAAACATAATCGAAGTAATTAAAGATTATATTAAAGATAAATATTCAACAGCCTTAGAAACATATCTCACGGCACCAGAAATCATGAGCAGGGTAAAAAATACATATAACGTTTTTTACAAAAGACCACAACGACGATGTATGGCACCAATGAAATATGTTCGCATCACTAGTGACTGTGATGAAAATACAAAACAACGTTTGTTTAAAATTCCAGAATATTATAAACATTTGTGTGAAAATAAAGATAATGAACATCAAAGCGTAAAAAAAAGTTTAAAGAAACAAGATAGTTCTCCAAATAAAAATATAAATAGGTAAATATTAAGTAGAGAAATGATTGATTATTTAGCCAATAAAAAATTTATGTATCTGCATTATAGCATTACCGATAAAAAGATATTAGAAGAAAAGATCCTGGGACTAAAGAGGTATTTAAGTTATTTAAATAAATAAATTATTTTATTAAAACGGAATTTTTTATAAATATAGTATTATATCAAATTTTGATGTTAACAACAAAGAAACAAATGAAAAAGAGTGCAACCTTCCAGTCAGTTTTGAAACGTTTAAAAGGTTCACTTTTCACAATGATGTTATTGATAACATTTGCCAAAGCATAAAGGAGTTGGAGTATGAGTTGCCAATTTCAAATATATCAAAAGAAGAATTATTTGATAATAATAAATTACTTCGGAGTTACTACAAAACATTTTACATGCAAACGGTTATTCGGACAATATTTCCATTGAAAATAAAACCATGTCCAGGACGTTTAAAGGACAAACTTTTGAAATATCCAGAAATTACGTCAGATCATGAAGGTAAATAAAAATATTTTGTCACAAACCTTACTATTAAGTAATATTTATTTTAGAGCCTACAGTAAGTAATAGAGATGTTATAAAATCTAATACGAAGGAACATTTAAATAAGAAAACAAAATTAGGAAGCAGGAAAGAAGATAAAAATATGGAAAAATGTTCATTAGGTGAGTTAGACTTTATTAATTAATTGTATTACTTAGTATTAAAAAATCTAAAATTTTCCAGCGTTAGAAATTAAGGCATCCAAAGATAATGATCTACATCATAGGTATGATGTTAACATTTCAATGTAAATATAATATTATTTATACAAATTATTGAAATATCTTACAGTTATATGGATGAAAAAACTTCAAACGAAAAAATTCAAGTATTACGAAGATTGAAAAGGTTTAATTACGATTTCAACAAAATGAAAATATTTTATTTAAATTAAAAATTTATTTTTTTAGTTTTATTATACCTAACTTCGATGACAAGAATGCAGAGCTACAAAAGCATAATCCTCCTGTTAGTTTAGAAATATTTAAAAAGTATACCTTGTATAATGAGGTTATTGATCAAATATATCAAGATATGATACACACAGATTGTTCGTTAATAATCCTTAAACCCTCAGAAGAAAAATTTTTGAATCGTGATCGCTTGCTTCAAAGCTATTATAAAGCATTTTATTTTCAACCCAACATTAGAAAGTTATATCGCTTAAGAGTTAAACCATGTCCGGCACATCTAAAGGCAAAACTTTTATCACTTCCCAAAAAAATGTATAATGCTGTTTCAGAAAATGGTAAATTTAATTATATTTTGTAAAATATTTTGCCATTAAAAAATATTTATTTCAGATTCTACGACAAGTATTGAAAATAACGAAAATGTTGATCATAACATAATTACATCAGTGGTGGCACCATTTAACAAGAAAACTAAATTAAATCAAAGTAATTAAAATTGTTTTTCACTTGTATATTGCTAAGGATGAGCTAAAAAAAATTTATATTTTTAAGTATTACAAAATAAAGCTGTCAAAGAGAATACTGAACGAAATTCTAAATTACATGAAAGCAAGTTTAAAACAAAAACAACAAAAACTCCTGAATCAAGTTCACCCGCAAAGGTTCTCTTATGGAAACAAGATTACCCTAATGAGACTAAACAAACAAGGTATATTGTAATATGTTTTATATTTATTTTAAACTATGAATAAACAATAAAACTCAATATAGTGCAACTTGCATAATGGAACCAATTATTTCTGGTGTTATGGAGAATGAAGTCGTCAAAGATTCAGCGGAATATCATTTAGTTCCATGCCCTTCAAATTTACGTGCAAAACTTGGAAACTTAGCGGTAAAAAACAATGACAACGCCGTGGTGTTACCAAAAGGGTACATTTCTCTATATATTATTTATATGATACACTTAAAAAAATTAGTAACATTTCAGGCCTCAATTGACAACTAAATACGACGATTCAAAATTCTCACTGAAATTTCAAGATTTCCTAATGGGTACAAATGTTTTAGATCTTCTGATAAAAACTTACAATACTACTGATGATGATTTAGTGAATATAGCATTCGAATATTACATCAAATTTGTTACTAATCCTGTTAATCCAAATGTGGAACTATTTAAAAATTTGATGATACATGCAAATGAAAAATCAGTAAAATCATTTTATACTATATATACTCAAAATAAAAAAGACTCATCTAAAGAAGTAAAGGCTATAGAAGATATGTAAGTTTAAATTACTATTATATATATTTAAAATTTGATTTTAATGTCAGTTATGACGTTAGTGACTATTTTAGGTAATAGATTTATATTTGTATTTAATATAGAGGTTTTGAACAGCACTGAATTGCAACAACAAAAATTTTATTTATTTTAATTAAATTCGATTTAATTAATTAATTTTTAACCAAAACTTCGATTAATTCAAAATAAATAAAAAATTTTATTGTTAAAATTCAGTACTACTCGAAACCACTGTATTAAAAGTAAGTTTGATGATTCAGGATATTTTCTGGATAATCAATATGTCATTTTGATAAATTTTATTATTACATGTATAATATGAAATATACAAAAAAAATGCAGGTAAATAAAATCAAACTTATTTTTTCAAAATGAAAGTAGAAAAAGTAACAAAAATTTTTAAATACAAATTTTTGTGTTTTTGATTTATTTGTTCAAACGTAACAAGCCTTTTCTATTCTTTTTATAAATATTTGCAGGCAAGGACCGAAAGCGAGTAAGTCCATTAATAAGAATAATATGTTTCCTGTCTCAATAGCTGAATTCAAAAAGTACACATATTATAAAGAAGTGCTACTTCAAATTTTGAAAGAAAAAGCCAAAGGCGATGAAGAACTTTTTGCAAAATTACGGAGAAATAAATTGGTTTGGAAGAAAGCGCTGCGATTGTATTACACGAATTTCTTTTTTAAACCATCGATACGTAAAAAATACACTTTACGTTTGAAAGAAATGCCGCAAAGTTTGAAGGCAAAATTTTTAGAAATACCTGCAAAATCAACAACAGTGAAGGAAAGTAAGTATTAAACTCAGCTAAAGCAAATTTTTTATATTTTTATGTTGTAAAGATTTAGCTGCGTTGTTAATTCTTTGCATTAGGATTTCCAATCTTTTGGGGGAACTAAGGCCTTTATAATTTATCCACTAATTTGTAGGTTTGAATTTACATTATATACGTTTGCGTAACATTTTTTTCTAGCAGAGTTGCACAACGTACACCAATAAGTGACCACTGCCCAATGAACAGTGTATAGCATATTCTCTACTACCAAAGTGTGGTAAATTGAAGCTTCACTAAGTCTTCTGGGAAAGGTATGACTGCCTTCTCTGCTCAACAATGAATAAACAATTCTATGCATTTAGGTCAACTATATTGCAAAACCGAAGTGGTTTTCACCCATTCTGATATAAAATCTAATTTTTGACTTTAGGATATATAGACAATTTACTACTTTGTCAGTTGATTAAATTCAAGACACTGTTCTTATCTTATTCTAACATGGCATCTCCCGTAATTATGATATTCTCATTACCAATCTCAAACACACCATTGCATAGATCTTCGGTTTCCGATTGTTACAATTAAAATACACCTGAATGATATACGCTGATTCCTTTTTCAACTATAATTCTACTACTATCACGCTTAGAACAGTAACATATTGAATTCCTAAGCTCGTCACTTATTCTTTTTTGATTTCGTATTTCATTCTACTATAGGCTCTACTTTTTCTTGCGGAATGTTGTGGTTGACGAGACTTGGTTCCATTCGTCTTTTTAATCTATTTACATCAAAGGTTTTCACTATGTTGTGATATAACGTATTTATATCACTGATATTAACGCCATCGAATACTTGAAATATTTCTATTTCACTTTTAAGTCCATTCATCAGAATAATCATTGTTTCCCAATAACCAACTCTTATATAAGAGAGGAGTGATGATATCATAACTACAAGATTTTAAGAGTCATGATTAAATTTTTGATCGTTCGTTCGAATCTCAATAAAAACATATGATGATTGTTGGTTAAAGAAAGGAAACGATGTATAATCTGTTTTGTTTTTAGAAAAAAAATGTGATAAAAACCATTTAAAAAGTGATAGAGAATCAAATTACACCTATTTCGATAGCTATAAGCCATTATCTGATGAATTTTTATTAATGTACATATCAAAAAAAGTGTCTGATGTTAATAAGCATCCAGAAATTTTAAAACGTATAAAGGAAAATAAACAACCACATAAAAGACAGTCGGGAATAGAAACAATATCAATAGAAACGATTGTGCCACCAAATATTGAAAATGAAATAACATTGGATGAACAATCGCCAGTCATACCTGAAGAAAACATGGAAATATTCAATAAGTTGTTCGATCCAATTCCTTTGGTAATTGAAATGAACTTATAATGAATAAATTTATATAATTTTACTAATTCTTTTTTTAGAAATGTACTTTATCCTATGTACTTCGTTTTTCTTTTGGTCCAAAACAATCTGTTCTGCGCACATTGATGCATATATCGTTCGAAGATTTCTGCAAGTTCACAAATATTTATCAATTGTCTAATATCTATAATGATAAACTAAAACTATTCAAAATTTATGAATCCACGATTAAAAAAGACATATGGCCGTTTAATTTATATATGCGCATAAGTGATATTTTCCTTTATTTACTGTTAAATGATGTAAAGCTTGATTTAAGTGATTTACAACATATATCACCAAAGTTTTTACATTGGAGTGATCTTGCAGTGAATACTGATTTTAATGAAATTGTAAAAGAAGATTATTTTAATATGAATGGAGAGCGCATTGATGGTGATGAACAGCTACAAATTTCTCGTGAAAGTTTTTATACTCGTTGCTGGAATGAGGACGATTGGATATGGCGAATACCCAAAATAACTAATAATTCGATCCAAGAGAAAATTAATGTTACTAAAGGCAAGTGATTAAAAGTTAATACTAATGCTGGATTATTCAAAATTTCGTTATTTATTATTTTTAAATTTTTAATATGGCATAAGTATTGAATAATATATTGTCTATTTTGGTTCAATACCATTTTGCTCTGTTTGTAGCAGTAGCATAATTTTAGAATTTAATAATTCTATGTTTTCTTGCTCTAATACATTAAATTCTACATATAAATGCTCTTCGTGAGTTGCCAATTTAATTAATTATAGTAAGCCTATAATGTTCGTTTGATATTCTATGCAGCCTTTTTTTCATACACAATGAGTATTAGCTTCAAAATTTGACCTTTTTCTTGAGAATAAAATTAAATTCAATTAAAAACACAAATTGTAAATTAACCTTTTGATGATGTTAAGAATTAAGAATCGGTATTTTATGCCGCAGAGCTTTCTGTTGTCTTACTTTCAATACGGCTTAAATGTGAAATTAAATGCCAATAAAAAAAATTTTAAATCCTTTGTTAAAAATAAAACGAAATTACTTTTCAAAGCTAGTATATTTTTCCAAGTATTGTTTTCAATGCATTATTAAGACTTCAATTATATGTATACTTAAACCATTAGCATTATCTGATGAAGATGCAGAACAGTTGACTGTTGAGAAAAAAAATGTAAAGGACTCATATATATCACTGGAAAAGTGTAAGTAAAATATATGTAAATAAATATATCTTATAACAACATTCTTTTTGGTTTTAATCAAAGTCTAAATATATTTGTTACTTAAGCTTAAACAAAAGCAATCAATATAGCTTTTAGTAGATATTTACACTAAAGGTTTTCAGATCGAACTCACTTTTACTTTATTCATATGTTTTTGAAAAACTACCATTTTACCAGTATTATCAAAAGGGTAAAGGTTATGCACAGCACGTCTTCTAGAAACCGATTCAAATCATTAACTTTTTAAACAGGAGATAAGAAACTATTTGAATAACTGGGTAAGGTAACACAAACTTACAACAGCACAACCACACTGATATGGCAATCAAATATTTATAAATCAGTGTTATACATTCTTTCA